TTTGGCTTTAATGCCATTATTGTTTTATTTCTCTTTGTTAAGTGATAATTTTATAAAAATTAAATCTTCCAATCAAGGAATAAAGCCAAGCCGCATTCAACCAAGGCGACCCGATTTCAGTTTAACGACCACACGTGGGTGATACAAAATGTAACTGGTCACTGGTTCGTACATGTAAATTTTGTACCGTATACTCCGGCTTCCCTCCGGCCTCCTCCGCAAAAGGACCTACTCCTTTTAAGCGCTCCTACCATCGCCAAGAAGAGGGATTAGTGAAAATATCATCGATGAAAAATATATAGTTTCATAAAAAAACCCAATTATTAGTTCATAGTTTGTTTTACTAGTTGTCATTTATTGCATATCGTGATGTTGTCACAAAGCTAATGTTGAAGGTCCATACCGTTTCACATCTGATGAGGGAATCGAACTCCGGACCTCTTGCTGAACCAGGTTGTAGCCAGATGCTCCATATTTTCCTTTCGACTAAATGTTGTTTTAACAGCTTTCACATGGAATGTTCACATATACTGTCCAGCTTGAGGTTTTTTTTAATGTTGTTGATAAGCACAACGATAGCTTTGAGAAATAAAGTATTGCCTGTTCGGAATTTGATTGTCTTCTTTGCGTTAAAACGTAGTTCATAACCAGCAGTAGTTTGTCTTAAAGAATATGCCAAAAACACATTAACGATTGCAAAGTCAACCCTGATTGTCTCCCTTCTTCTGTTTTGTTGTTAGTAGCATTTTATTATAGTTATTGTTATTAATATCTATTATACATTAACAATTATTGGAACTTATTCATTACTTAACTGACTAAAAAGGTTCGTTAAAACAGTAAAAAAGGTCGCGTTTTTCCTTTTGAGATTAATTCACTGATCTAATGCATTCCCTCACATTTACATGTATTTGTATTGCAATGTTATGAATAGGAAATCACTTATGTTTTGCATGGAATTTATTTCCGGGTTAATACGCGAGGAGAGACAATCGTCCATTCAAATCTCTCGCTATTACAAAAATGTATTTATGTGAAACTTTTGATGACATCATTTTTATTCCGTCAGTATCATGGCTTACTTTTACACACATTGCCGTTGAATTTATATCAAAGAAAAATAAAATATTTACGAAATCTAAGTGACTTACAGTATACATATCTCTTTTTAACCAATGGGACAGTTTTACAAACACTATTTCTTTACGTGTCATGGAAATTAAAACATATGAAAGTACACGGACAGTTCTCTATAAAGGAGGAAGAAAAACACCCTACAGGTTTGCTTTAAAAGAACTGATAATTAAACGCACTATTGGATTTTAAATTGTGTTCAAAATCACACGTCAACTGGTTACTGTTTACGGCTAGTAATATAACCAAAGGATGGCACTCATGTCCGTATAATCATGGTTTATATCAAGAGGATGTTGTCGAAGTAATATAATATATTTATAATCCGCTCATCAAGCTGTTGGTTGATAGTAATTGTCTCCCTGGTTATAGAGCTGGGATGTATCACTTACGCTGTAAGGCACGTGCGTTACATGCTCGAAATTGTGGCGAAATTGTCGGGAAAGAAATTATGATAAATAATTGCACATCGTAATTCCAATCCGTTGACGCGCAATAAGAAACACATGTTTTGTCTATCGTGTTTCGATCTCGTAGCGTTTTAAACATCACCTCGAGAACGGCGTTAGCAGCGGCCTGTCAACACTATTAGACTAGCCTAGAGTCAGCAGTGAACGTTTATTACCTCGGCTAGCCGACTCGGGGGAACAAAATACCCTTTAAATGAACATGAATGTCAGATTAAATGATCAGATTCATATCAGCGGACCAATCAGACATTCGTCGAGTGGAGGCCTTTCTTTGCCCATCATCGACAATGCCAAAACAACTCCATTATCTACCGCCGCAAGGGGGCGCCAAAAGGGCACGTGTTGTATAGTTAGGGAAAGAAACCATAAACAGTACGTAGAGTTAAATGGGATCAAAGGTTTTCTCTATTCTTTAATGTAACAATTAATTTCATGTCACTCCCAGTTTTTTTTTTAATTTGCAAATAATGTATGTTGATCATGAACTCAACAGTACATATATATATATATCTGTAAAAAAAATACTTAATTGATCATTTTGTGTGATGCTACGATTACGTCACATTCGTTATGCTCGAGTAACCATATTGTTTCATATTATATCAACTTAATGTCATTTTGAAGCCGACGAACATTTTATAAGGAAGCCTAATATACCGCGTGGATCCGACCTCATAGTCTTGTTGTATCGGCATTCTTGTTATATCCTTGTCTGACGTAGTTGTGACGTAATTAGATTACACCATACTTACGCCATACATAATTATCTATCAGTAACAAATTAGATAACGTTAATATACCTGTATCTATATAACATTACAAGGTGTAAAATTAATAACGAAATGATGGCGTTCATATAAAATTCAGCTTTGCTTCTTATGATAAGATATCCGAATTAAATCACCACGAAAAAGACAAAACACATGCATATTCTTATCTTTACTTAACGTTTGGTGAAACGAAATTTTACTTTTATCGGAAATAAATTGACCTGTTCAATTGCACTATCGTCCCGATCATTGTCTGGAAAAAATACTTGTATAAACCGACCGATGTCCCGACTCGTATTAAAAACCTTCTGACAGTATAATGTGGTGAGTGTTTCGGACCTTTATAATCCGGCCAGTGTTTCTTACCAGTATTATCGACTATTGTTACGAACCTTTATAATCCGGCCAGTGTTTCTTACCAGTATTATCGACTAGTGTTACGAACCTTTATAATCCGGCCAGTGTTTCTTACCAGTATTATCGACTAGTGTTACGAACCTTTATAATCCGGCCAGTGTTTCTCACCAGTATTATCGACTAGTGTTACGAACCTTTATAATCCGGCCAGTGTTTCTTACCAGTATTATCGACTAGTGTTACGAACCTTTATAATCCGGCCAGTGTTTCTTACCAGTATTATCGACTAGTGTTACGAACCTTTATAATCCGGCCAGTGTTTCTTACCAGTATTATCGACTAGTGTTACGAACCTTTATAATCCGGTCAGTGTTTCTTACCATTATAATCGACAAGTGTTACGAACCTTTATAATCCGACCAGTGTTTCTTATCATTATAATCAACTAGTGTTAAAACCTATAAATCCGACCAGTGTTTCTTATCATTATAATCGACTAGTGTTACGGACCTTTATAATCTGACCATTATTTGTGAATCCGAAGCGTATTTATAGCCTGTATACTCTGACCAGTATAAATTTATATAGTGACCAGTGTTTCAAACCTGTATAATATGACTGATGTTACAGATCTGTGTGATACGACCGGTGTTACAGACCTGTTTAATAAGATCTATGTTACGGGATGAATAATACGCCTAGTGTTATACACCTATATAAAATCAATCAGTGTTTCAGACCTGTATATAACGACCAGTTTTTCAGAGCCGTATAATACGACTAGTGTTACAGACCTGTATAATCCGACCAGTGTTACGGTCCTGTTATATTGCGGCAAGTGTATAATGATATCAAGTGATTCGGCTCTGGTTATGACTATCAGTGCGGACAAGTTCTATCTGGTCAGCGTCGAGAGATGAGGTGGCCACAGTATTTACTGTTTCATGCCTGTACACAGCTACTTAGGCGGAAACGTATTTCGCAATTTGAGATAGAAGCGTTTTAAATGGAACCAACACTTGTGGTCTGGTTTGCTATTTGAACATTTAAGAGGTTTGTGATAATGCCTGTATAGTGAAATCAATGTTCATGTTTTGCGTGAAGATTCGATACTGTAAGTCATCTAGTAACATACAAAATAATCAATATATCTAAATGGAGAAAAAGAGTCCATTCGCCTTTTTGAATTATCTGTGTTTTTACCATAAGAGAAATCTATGAAAAACCTGGAATTTTCTGCACTTTTTCTCAAATCATTGTATCGAAATATGACTGTACAATATCATTTTTGAAATTACATTTATTTGTCACTCATTTGTTGAATTGAACTTAAATACAGATAGTTTTGTATCAAATATTTATCATTCATTTTCAAATTTAATTTACCATACTCATTCAGTACAGGGTTTTTTTCGGTTAGCGAGATATAGAATTTGAATAATATGGCCTGTCAAAACCATTTTGCCAAGACATCTGTCTCCAATCCTCATGTCTCGCTTCACCATACCTTAAATATGGGTGTAAACTAACTTGTTCTATTGTTTACGCCTTGTTTGTCTAATTAAATCGTGGTAAGGAGTTCTTTAAGGTTAAACCAAATTCGTTCAACTTATTGAATGGGTACCATTTACCTGATTAATTAGAAACGAAGTGGAATCTGTAAAGTAAATAGTCCGTAAAAAGTCTCATTATGACAGAAAGAGGAACAGTACACGTGTTTCGTAAATGTTATCATTGTCTGAGACCTGCTACAATCAAATCCGAATTACAATGTCAGTGGTGACTTTATTTCATTCATTAACAGACCATCGTTATTTCCAGTAAATTAAGGCTGATCACTCAACCATGTCAAAAGTGTGTAGATATGTAAAACGTGTAGATAGCGCATGTTTGACACGCGCGATTTGTGATGATAGCCGGACTGGGTTTGTAGATGCCCCGCAGTGGAGAAGTCAGATAGCCCCTTAGCTGTAGACAGGACGGTGTGTACTAAATATTGATTGAAACAATTAGGTTCTCTGTACCTCTGATAATGACCTGCAATATTGAAGTCATTAAGAATATAATAATCCGAAACTGACACCAGAGGTTAAAGGTATTTGTTTATCAGCACAGCTTTATGATCATTAATTCCAAGAGTGACAGCGTTATGCCCAGGCCGATTGGCCAAGCAACGGTGCTAATCTCTTGCCGAGTGGCCCTCGCTTTACATGCTACACCAGTGGCATGCGGTTTCTCATCGAGATTGATCCAGCCCTCCCGTATACTGCTACTAACTTTAAGGCTCATTAACGGCATAATAGATTTCTATCGCTCCCTCCCCCCTCCCCACCCCTCTACCTCCCTCCTAAGACGTTTTCATTACGATAACGATAGTTGCGGTGTTTGGTTGTTCTTGGAGTTGTACAAATCATCCAGTCTTAATTGAAGAGAATTTATTCATTAAGTGGTGAACGCCAGACAAGGCACGTCTCGCAGAGGTGGTAGCGGTAGTAGATAGAATTGCCGGAGACTACTTAAGCGGCAGACTAATCGGTATCACTGTAACGGCTGCTGATGTTGTGTCAAGGTGCAAGAGACAGGTAGCTTGTCACGATGGACTCCGGGGATGTAGCTCTCTGTTTACCAATCTACAATATGTAATAGTTTTTTAACCTATTACAGACAATTTTAACTCTGGTGTTTCCGGACGTTTGGATACAATTTATCTTTCTATTTTGCGTCTGTCCCTGGAGTTTCGAAGGTTTGGAAACATCGTGTGCTTTGTTTACTTATTCATCGAAATATTGATGGACATTTTCATATGTTTAAGACTATTAAATTATTCTTACTTATTCGAGACATTTTATTTATTTTGGAAGAAATTGTTCAAAGTGATTGAACAAACCAGACAAGACTTTAACAAGTTGGTAAACAAGGAATGGATTGCAGTATGAATTCAAGACATCACAACTCTTTGACATCGTCTTGTTATTCTAGAGAAAGCGCTTTTTTCACGGCGCCTAGAACGTGGCATCCTCACATTTACGAGAAAACGCCCAAACAACCGACACCTCACTTCATCTCGAACATCTTAGGTACGTGTTATGATAAGGACAATGTGAAAATTGAAGAAAAGAGATCAATTCACTCCCGCGGTGACGAGCGACGACATCGTGGTTATGGGTACGATTCCAGTGGTGAAAAGGAGGTCTACGCTAAACACCGGAACGGTGACTTAGACGGTTACATATCTGGACCGGAAAACTTAGAAAATAGACATCATGGTACTAGCCTCGAAGGTATGTATCGTATCTTTATTTTTTTACTGTTGTTCATAATTTTGTTTCCGTTTTCCTCCGTCTGTTTCTATAATTGTGTTTGTTTTGTTTGTCTGTTTTCTTTGTTTTTTTTTCCCCCTCGTTTCCTTTTCATTTTATCAACATGAAAATATTTTTATTCAATAGACCAGTGATCGTACGCTGTTAACTTTTGGTTATCTGTTGAAAATGTATCGATTTACAATTAGTTACAGGTGACATAAGAGGGACTCATCAGTAATGAGGCTATGCGTCATATCAATGAGAAATTGTACACGATGACAAAATAACATTAAACTCTGGGTTTTTTAAAAATAAAACCTTATACCTTTCAAATTCAATAACTGATTGGTCAATTAAGGCGGAATTTTCAATTGGCTACAAAATTGCCATTAGAAGGAGAATATCTTCTAATATAATTTAAACGTATCCATTGTGAAACTGTAGATGAGAGGTTTGTCACATGTTTACAGTTTATCACCACTATCTACCAACAATTAGACATGTACACTACAATAGATAAGCTAAATAAATCGAATAAAGTTATCACAATAACTCTGTACAAATGAAATCAACCTTTTACAGCCAATATTATCTAAAGATATTATGCTCATACATATGTTTAAAGATATCTGTATGAAAATCTGCAGTCAGCTGTGATTTTCCAAATAAAACCATTTCTTATTCAAATTTCACATTCTAATATTGAAATTATGAATTGGAATATTTCTTTCATTAATTAAAAACTTGACACTAAAGATAATGAAAGATATTCTCATAAGAGTTACTACAACTACACAATAACAGACTGTATAATCATATTTAAATGCTGAAGTTAACGGTATATAATACCTAGGCGTTGTTTAAAAAAAGAAAGAAAAACATGAAAAGGCGAAATCATAACGAACGGAAATTAATTTATCTTTACGCATATTTTAATAGCCAAATATTTTATCAGGCGAAAACATATCTGATAAAAGTGTTTTCAAATGTGTGGGAAAGAGTTTTGGGGGATGTAGATGATAAATATTACTATTTTGGATGATTATAGAAGTTCTTTTATCGACAAGCAGCTATTTCCATGCACTTTTCCCTGCAGTGCTATCAGAAAGTGTAATTCGAAACTCATAAATCTATAAGTTGTATCAACTAAAGTATAAATAACAGAATCATATGGCTCGTGTTTATCTTGTAACTTTACCAAATCCGGTCATCAGACGTCTAGTATGAATGTTCACCAACCCTAGTTATTTTTTTATTTTATCTTTATTTTTTTAATATTGGGTGTGATTTTTTCTATCCTATTTAGAAGTTTTGCTTGTATGGAAAAACATATCAAAATCCAGTACTTTTTAAAAATATAAAAGCATATTTTAAATGTACATAAAAGTGAAAAGTATCGAGTTAACAAAAAAATTGTTTAGCTTTGCCTGAAAATTACACAAAGAAAGGTTGAGAGAAACACAAAACATCTCTTCTGAAACATATTGTCAAGCTTCAGGAATAAATATTTCTATAGACGCACTGTCGAAACAATGTCAACAGTTGTAACATTTAACAGTAATGCATTAAATCATTGGTCGTATGATAATCAGTTAGATATATACGGTATTTTTGGGTATAGGATGCACCTATCTCTGACTTACTCGCGGCTAATTACATTAATAAATATCACGTTATATTATATAGATTACAGAGAATAAATTATAAAATAAATTTCAGCATGCAACGTCACCGTTATATTATTATTCCAAACTCCTTGTCATTTTTTAATAACCTTTATTATAACATTGCAAAGTAAATGACACGTAAAGATCTCTATGCATATTTTCTATTCAAAGTATTATTATCATTTAAACAATACTTATTAGATAAATTGTCTTTAACATTGATAAAGATAATTCAGCAATGAGGAAAATATTTCGGGAAATTGAAACTCTAGCATATAATCCGTGATTACTTATATTTACCTAGATATACGTCATAAAAGAAACACAATATACATCATCTAGACTTTCAAATGATCACAATGAAAAGTTCTACAAAAATATAATATTTCTGAAAGAGAAAGAAACAGGCTAAGTGTATTTAAAAACCGTGTAGACATTGAAGTTTATATAAATATAAATAATGTTATTGATAATCCGCTCTTCTTTCTTGTAATTTCTATCACGTTGATACGGTATAGGAACCAGAACAAAATATTTGTAATTTGATTCCACGAATAAAACGAAAGCTTTAAAGCTAAAACTTCTAATTGCCTACAAAAACGTGCCTCGTGAAATCAGCATGACCGGAGTGTTGACTAAATACAAAGTGGGTAACGTAACACGTATTACGGAAAGAAAGGGAAAGGCTTCGTAATACAAGAAATGAAGATAAAAAAAATAACACAGACAAACAAACAATTTGTCATACTCCAATTCTAATAATTAGATGTACATTTTAAATAATACAGACGCTACTTATCTTTTGTTTTCTAAGTGATTGCGGTAAGGTAACTCTACAGATGCACATGTCTCGTGTTGTTTATCATCTGTATTGGAAATCTAACTTTGTTTCATGGTTTCGTCGTCCGTGCATACTTCAAAACGGTGTCAGAGTTCACTTAAGAGCAAATGACTGATATCAAAATTGTAGAAAAAAAATATAGCAATTGAAAAAATTGCAGAAGAATGTCAGCGAAATGGTTGTATCACGAACGGGTTTCTTCAATAGGGATCAAACTGAATGAAAAGTAATTATTTCGTCTTGAAATTAGGTTTCGAGAATATTTCCATAAGTATATGTCTGTGAGGAAACTAGATTAGAATAAAAAAAAATCTCCAATATATTCCTGAAAAAAACATGTCATAAGAAACAATATATCATTTTAGTAATATACAGAGTATACTGTAAACGCACATAATTTAGCGGTAATTCCATTTTAGCCGTTTTGTCTCTAAATTTTATTCCGCTAAAAGTATGATTGCGCAAATTCCGATTCCTGAATCTTATTTATGCATCAAATACTGTGGGTGCGCTGTTTCATCTGTGCGCCAATAAGATAAAATTTTATATCACCAATTAATTAGGTTAACGGTATACTTTAATACTATTTTATCGCGTGATGTTTTTTTTCTCTATTTTCGTGAGTATAATAAACTCGCAAAAATATGTATGTACTATGAATCTCAAATTGTTGGAGAAACTATCGCCCGTTTGTTGACTTAACTGATTTTTTTTAATTCGAGGTTTTTTTTTTCAAAACCGGTAAACTTTGAACCGTCGATAAAAGCCCTTTGCAGAATTAGGGATAGTAGCTGATACAGAAAGTACGTGTACTTACATGTAACGTACCTGGAAATATTTCAACAGGAAATCTCTTTGTCTTCATCATCAAGTAATGAGTAACTGCCTTGTAGGATAAAAAATGAAGATAAATATCAATCAATTAAGATGTATACCGCCAGAATACGGAATAAATATTTCTTTTGTTCTGAAATCAACGAAGTTTATGGAGGTTGACATTAAACCGATATGTCTGTTTGCTGAAATGACCTGGCATTGTGAATATATTTCTGAATAATGACAGAGAATGTAGAGGTATTGTTGTCTAACAACGATTGGTCTATATATCAACGAACTTCCGTACAAAAACGCGATCTCAATATCATTAGCATATATGGATGAGTAAAATAAATAACATTGATAGTTTTATAAGATAAATATAGTTTATAAAAGCCATTACAAACCGGATAAAGGATTTCTACACGATAAAAACACCAGTGATATCTTAATACAATAGTAGTTGAAATAACAAAATATTTGTAAATAGCATTAAAAATCACATTTAACAATATAATGTTAGTATCAAATAATAATGTATTGAAATAATACATCTGGATTAATGGAGAAAGAGAGAAAAATGTTGCCTCATTAGACTAAAAACTGAAATAAACACCAATTTATTAGAATGGAATTTTTGGTAAACAATTAATTTCAACTGTTATGAAAAATGAACATAATATTACATTTTAAATTTACATTAATCTAATGATAAAATCGTCAAAGTGTGATCAATTTAAAGTAATGTTATAATTTTAATTATTACTAATGTAACACGGATTAGAAGTATTACAACTAACTATTAATTTACAGAGAGGATATTGAATTATCTTCTATAAATGCTGGCAATAACTGGGCATTGGTGACACCAATAACAGATGATCAGTCTGGATCAGAAATGTTATATTAGGGAGAGGGGAGGGGGAGGGGAGCGGTGCATGCGGTAGTGCCCTGGCCATTAACACTTGGTTTTGAGTGATTAGGTCTGGAATGGGATTAAATGACGAAGGCTTTAGGCTTTTGAGAGAAAATTAATATCGTCACACAGGGTATAGTGTGTGTCACAACGCTGTCATAGTCAGAAGGCTGGCAATTACAAATCAGTGCAACTAAAGCAACTAAAACAAATTAAACACATTGTTATTGTGTACGTGTATTCTGCTGAAATTTGCCTACTTTTTTAATTGTATTTTTATAAATTTCTTTTAAGAAATTGAATATGACGACTTGATTGTATTTTCGGCATCGGCAGTATTAAAAATCGAACGATTTTGAGACAAATCGAACAAAACGCTTATAAACAGTAAAATATGGACACTATTTGTTACATATTTCTAAATCATTCTTGAGCAAACGATATCACAAAGTCAGTACAACTTTGGTCTGTATAATTAGGACAATTATTCTAGCAAAAGGTGTAAGAGATATACAGAAAGAATACTAAAATGCAGACGAGAAAATGAGAGCGAACATTAATGTAATAATTAATTGAAGTGATATAAGCGCAATTACTGCAATAACAGACTCGTTTAAGTAACGAGGTGACATTTGTATACACATGGAATTACCACAGTAAATTGTTATGACGTTATAACGGCGTGCTGGTGACCTATGATGAAATGCATAGCGTTATGTATGATAGACGCCCTGGTAACAATTACTGCGCAGCGTCATAGACAAGTGAACTATAACACTATATCTAATATCTCGACAATTACCATCAATAAGCCCAGCGTGAGATGGTATGTATTAGTGTAGAATGTAATACAGTGTAAGCCAGACAGAGAAGGGGGACTTTTAACACGTGTAAGACACACCGCAGTGTTGATGGCGGTTACGTAGATATATAATTAATTCGGCATCGTGGTGAATTTCGGGTTGTCACCTGATAAATTACTGTAACATGATATAATTTCGCGTAGCACAAATTTCGTGGTTTAAACAATCCCAACATTTGAACTTGATTTCGTCGATAAAAACCGTACTGAAAAACACACCCGTGCTTTAAAAAATATGTATATATCCAACAATTGATTTATAATCTGATGCACAAATGATTAATTTACTGATAAAAGGTGTTTACAAAATCAACGGAAATAGATTTAAAAAGAGTAAATATCAACACGGAAATTAATTATTTGACAGTAAGTTGGCTTATCAACATGTAAACTGTGTAAGATCTATCACATAGCAGTGTCAGAATTCGGTAGCTGTGATATGGTAAGTCTTTATCGTATCGGTTTTAATTGTTCTTATTAAAAGCATGTGAAGTTTTGATCTAATCTCGGTAGTTTGATACGGGATGGATATGAAGCATGTAAAACGTCATATACAAACAGTTACAAAAAACAGAATGTTTTAAAATCTGTGTCAAACTATTTTAAAACTTTGCTGAACCACTGAAAAATATCGTTATTCCAAAATAAATGTTTTAAGATATTTTTTTTGTTAGAAACTTGGATAAGTGTATATTAACCGTCTGCTGCAACTTGGTATAATGTATAAAATTGCTCCGAAATACTCATTGAGATAAACTTATCAATCCCGAATGCTATTATGACAGCGATATTTGTTAATAAATAAGAAGATTGTACAAAAGAATAACAAGTTAATGTTATAATTCAGAATCAAATAACGAATGAAACATGCAGCATGCAGCTGTTTCGTTCTTTTTGGATTTGTCAGTGATGTTAAAGATTCTAATTTTAAAACAAAGGAGGCGATTGAGAAAAACCAAAATTGAACGAACGAAATGTCAAAATTAAGATGTGAAGGTACACAAACCCCATAACTCAATTTTCGTATACCTGATAATTCAAGAGAACGTGAGTTGATGTGTAGATATTGTGAATTGTGCCACTATTTGAATTAATTTAACGCTAAGAGAAGTTATTCAGCCGGATAGCGTCGTCCGAATACAACCGGATTTTATACATTCATATATATTGTTTGTTAAATAATATATCTATATATCTATGGTCAAGCCTGGTCATAATATCTCTATACAAAATTGTTGAAAAGAGCGTTAAAACACATGTTTTATTCATTATAAGGCTCTATCTGATTTTAAATTAATTCCTATTCAAAAATGTTAGTAGTCTTTACTTTTGTGTCCTTTAAACGATCTGGTTCCAACTGAATGTAAGGCCTGTGCTTGGTTCTCACAGGTCAGGGCGAATCTAGGTCACCTAATATGTATTGAGGGGTGGGGGCGGTTTTTATTTCCCGATGGTCAGTTCTCACCGTTTGTTCCGGCCATACATATCACAGTGGTAGATGTCAATCTATACCACAGGAACCAGACATTACTTACCTATTGGCCGGCTTTACTTGTACTTAAGAACACATGCCATATTTTTTATACAATTCTCTAACATACGTTTATTGGAAATAAGAGGGTCGTTAATGGTTGTTGTGTTACCACGCAGGTAATTGAATGACCACTGACATCGACAACGACATGTCGATTTCATACTTACTTGTAAATACGTGGTAGAGAGAAAAGTTCACACCCCACTATCACTCTCTGTTGTCTATGCTTCATTAATTTGTGGAGATAATTGTTTCCACTAATTGTTGTTGTAGCTTCTGTTATAATGTACATGTTATAAATACATTACTTACTTAAACCTTGATTTGATTTTGCGTTATTTTCGAATATATGAAATTTTAAAAAAATCTCCTGAAAATAAAATTTATAACGAAAAAGAAAACAGTTTCATAGCTTCTTGTGAAAAGCAATTCCTCCGCTTCAGATATTTGTCAAAGTCAAGAAATTTTGAACAATCGGAAGAAAATCTTTCCGGCATTTCTTTCCGTGTGTTGGACAAAGTGTGGGGAAATTGTTCACACATTCCAGAATATTGACTTTAGATATACTTTGATGATAATTAATGTACTAACTCTCTGATAACCTCAGGTAAACATTACTTATTAACATGGAAACATGTATCGTATTTATTCCAATAAATACACAGACAAAATCAGATGTTTGTGCGTCTGTTGTACAATCTTCAAGGTTACAGTTGGTAAACACTGCTGGCGGACTGAAGTCCACGAGCTTTGCCGTTACATCACCACATGGCACGTTTTATTCACACACGCGTACTTGACGTTCTTCTGAAATAAACAGAAATTTGAAAATTATAAAATTTATTTTGGTTTTCCTCCGCCGACTCCTAAGTTTCAAATCATTAGGCCCTTTATATCACCTAGAAGGACGAAACAGCTTTATCATAAGGCCCCTTTGTATCACCTAGAAGGACGAAACAGCTTATCATTAGGCCTTTTATATCACCTAGAAGGACGAAACAGCTTTATCATTATGCCCTTTGTATCACCTAGAAGGACGAAACAGCTTTATCATTAGGCCCTTTATATCACCTAGAAGGACGAAACAGCTTTATCATTAGGCCCCTTTGTATCACCTAGAAGGATGAAACAACTTTATCATTATGCCCTTTGTATCACCTAGAAGGACGAAACAGCTTTATCATTAGACCCTTTGTATCATTTGTATTAAAAGTTGCCTTATGGGTCTTTGGTAAAATCTGTTAACAGTTCAGCTAATTGATATGTTTGAAATGTCAGGATACATATCTATCACTGTCGTTGTGGTAAGATAATATTCTGACGTCTTTAGCTGGAGTCCCACTACAAATTAAGACGGATATTTTCGTCTTATTTATGTTTTTGTAGTAAGGGAAATATTTGGTAGATCTGAATGTTTTATATGTCACTTTTGCAGAAGAGTGCCATATCAAATTATTCAATAATGTCTGTTTATCCGTGGATTACTGAAGTATTTTTCTCTCGCTAATGAGGCGAGACAAAAAGTCAGTAGATATCGCGCTAAGTAAGAAATGCTTACTGTAACCTGATTGATAAATTGATGTGTCTGGATATTACACGTTTATGGTAGTCAATGTGAATTATTTTATTTCGGTTTCTTGTTAGTTGAAAAGGCTTAATACAAAAGATTATATTTCCCTAACAGTGCTGAATAAATTGGAAAAAGATAAAAGGACAACTTGCCAGGACGAGTTAAGGCAATGACAGAAAGAGTGATTAAGATAATAAAATAAGTAAATGAAGAATTGATATTGAAAAAAAAACATTGTAGGCCAGCTTTGTCATATTTGGAGAGAAAAAAAGTTTAAGATACATTTTAAAATAAGATATTCAATTTTTTACAAATCGATTTGCATGATCAACGTGATGAGTGATTTTAAATTGGTACAATGACCATACTGATACGTGTAAATCAACAACCAAGACATTATAATGTCAGTTGAGTTAGATGGTGATCTACACTTCACATACAATCTGCACTCTTTTGTCTGGATACCAGTTCTTTCTAAAACAAAGTAACATAAGAGTGCCGATAAGTGCACGCCACAATTTAAAAAGACATATTCTCATAATTTATCAACATTTCCCGGTTATGTTTAAGTTCATCAGTCACTCATTTTAATAAATCATTTAATAATTATTTTGCGTTGTTGTCTTTATTTGTATCTTTTGTTTAAGCAGAGAAAGTTATCAACAATTCTTTTTTATTTATCAGGTTCGTTTCGTTTTATATTTGCGTCAGTTTGGGGTTTGCACTGGTAGTATTATTTAAATCCATCTATCAGCTAACATCAATTTCCTTTAATTAAGGTGACGGAGATACGAAACAGAAACGGAAAAGTGAAGATGAGGACTCTAATCCTGACAATCAAGCCAAGAAGAAAAAAGCACGAACCACATTCACTGGCAGACAAATTTTTGAACTGGAGAAACAATTTGAACAGAAGAAGTACCTCTCGTCAGCTGAGCGAGCAGAAATGGCGGCCCTGCTTAACGTCACAGAAACACAGGTACTAATATTTCGTAATGATTTTGACACTGAACCAAGAAATCAACACGAATTATGATGCCGAGAAAGACCAAAGCTAGACGAATAAAGTATTTCCTTATGGAATATTAAAGTGTGTTATCTTAGGCTGAAACTGTTGGTTGATACTTTTATTTGACCAGAAGAAAAGAGTTAAGGATAGAACATATTTTGTATCTGTTCTTTTTTCAAACTTATCATTTTATTTTCTCCGAAAGCAAACTTATTATTTTGGAATATTTTTTTAAAGTATTGGATATCATCCTAGAATATTTAATTTATGTAAGAAGCATTACTAGATAAATTACAAAATTTAATTGCAGAAATATTTAAAGCTAGTGACGCCGTTTATAGTAAAATATATAAAACAAAATTAAAATAGAAATTTGAGGTTAAAATTTCAACCATGTGTAAGATTTCAATACCAGTATAAAATAGATTACTAAACACGTTGCACATACTTTTCATTTAAATTGCACTCTCAATTTTTTGTCATTTCTTAATTAGCAAAGTAAGAGCTATCAAATAAGAAGTTAACAATTATTGGGGAAAAAACGTACTAACGAAACAAGCACTTTGGATCAGTTTTTTTTTATCTAAACCGACAAATGAATACTCAAATATTTTAATTGTTATACCATGAGTCTGGATTCAAATGTGTTCATGAATTCCTATGTTTTATTTAGAAACACGACAAAACACCAGTTTTCACAAGAAACTGTTACAAAAGACACAATTGAATATTATCTTTCAATACAATTTTAGATAAGATACAACAGAGCCAAATAATGAACTGGAGTGCTTTATATCGCTGTTTCGTTATCGATGTTGAAGAACTAAATATTTAAACCTGCGAAGCGACTGGAAAAATCAACGATGATAAGAAAATTCAAAATCTGAATATACCAATAATTACATTAAAAGATAAAACATTGACATACGAGATATCAGAATGGGTATTCAGTTGATTCGATTCAAATAAGTTTCATATGAATCTTTCATTCAAACATCTTAAGAGAAAACAAAATACGATTAAAGATATATATGTCAAAATTGGAAACGGCATTTAAAGATTGCATTCAGAAACACAGAGAACAAATTTGTCGGAAAGTGCCCGATATATATTGTTCCACTGTACTTATCGACATGTAACTTAAACACAAACTCGCAATGTATCTGTTTTGAATAGCTATATGTTCTCATTTTCTGTTGGAGGTGTCACTAAGAAATCCTGATGTATTTAACAGATGGAAGTGATTAGCGTTGTACCGTATACTAATACAGTTTTCAGAGATCACTTTGTACCCTAATACCTGTTTCGTGGTGTATTTTGGGCCGTTGACTAACAATCCGTGATGAATGGAGGCAATCTATTCTTCGTTTACAAGCTTCTGCATCTTTTATTTCTAGGTAAAGATCTGGTTTCAAAACAGACGAACAAAATGGAAGAAACAGGAAAACATTTCCAATGCTGAAGCCGCAGAACATAAAGTACACGTGGACAAAACGCACGACATGGCACGTGCGTCTGTTAACACAAAAGCGATAAAGTCGGAATCCCTTTCTGTGCCCGTGGTACAGATCTCTTTAAAACAAACAGTTTTTACACCACAAATAAACATTGAGGATGATATTGTTAAACCATCAAACGATTCCCCCATTCCAACAAACCGTTCGGATACTTCCAGTCCCATACATGACCCTTTATCAGAGTGTGAAAATTCAAAAGACTCAAATGTTCATTTGGAACAACATGACGCTTCGGAACCTTGTGTTGACGTCGACGTCACTGAAACCCGTGTACCCGAAAGTAATGACGTTTTAGACGACGAATCATCGAAGGATGTGCCAGCAACTATTTGTTCACAGCCGTTCCAATGACATTATGCCACTTAATCATTTATATTCATCATAATCGTTATTTCGTCATGTGTTTATTTATAATCAGTCACAGCTGACGTTTTCTTGACAAGTGAAATGAAACTTGCAAAGACACCAAACGAAATCAAGCACAAATGACACTTTGTATGAATAAAAGTATTTTGTCTTTCATCCGTTGTGTTTTCTAACATTAAATTTGTGTAATTTTCGTGACATTTCTACTGCATTAATAGAATCAGGACAACAAAAAATCCAAAATTAATTGGACGGCGATGAATTTTACAAAGTTATGGAACATGAAATTTCTAGGCTGATATTTAATGGGAAATCTCAAGTAGTCAATTTCCTATTCGTCGTCTCAGAATAATACATTGAAATAATCGCTCACCATTCCGGAGTTTTTATAAGTTTTATAAACTTTTGTCTAATCTTTCATGGATTCTATATTTTCTTAGTATGAATAAACTTATAAAGGTGTCTGGTTCAGATATCGTTGTAACATGGTGTTACATATATGATATTACTTTTTTTGTTTACGCACAAATTACATGTATATGAAAGTTCGTGAAATCGTACATGACATTTTGCCATTCAATATTGTATTAACTCTGAAACAGTTTCCAATTGTGTTCCGAGAACATTTTGCAATGTAAAAAAATCCTAGAAAGACAATTTATCTGAACGTGAATTGTGCCCACGTCGACCGAGGCGAACGTCTGTAATATCCCGTGGTGGTCACTTAATTGACCACACACGTCAATTGCACTGGACCAATCGCTTGAAGGGAAACAGATGATGAACCAGACAGTTTGTAAGCGAGTCATTAAAAGGTAATGACGCTTTGTTATAGGTCTCGACAACGTTTTACTAAGTAGGGAATGTAACGGAAGGTTAGATATCTTTACTCTGGGTCAAAGAAACGTTTAACTTTGTAACATTGTGTATTTTGTATTTGTTGATGTTTACGATCTTTATGTGTTGGCTGTGTATTGTTTCACACTAATAACAGAACAATTATAAACAATAAAAGTGCTCAATGAATTTCTCGTGGAAGTCTTTTTTTAATCTTTTATTTCATATTGTTGCATTAGATTATATATGTAGTATTTGGATGTTTACGGATTTTGACTTTTTGTCATTTGGTCAAAGGATGATTAATTCAACATTTTGAATTTAATGTGATACGAAACTTGAACATATTTTTTTATATATTTGAATTACTGATGTTTTACTTACAAACTTTTTTTTACGACATTGATGCTTATGTCATTACTGTAATTTTCGAGGGGATTTCAAATTACATGAACTAAAGGGAAACTGATTTTATTGATACATCATAAACCTAGTTTCTAGTTATAGCCACCATTATTAGCCGCGATACTTTTATCAAATCAACTGCAGACCGACTATAGGTAATATACTATCATGTGTCTAAGTAACGGGACAATCTAAGGATAAAGAAAAAATCCCCGTTCTCGGCAGATCATTGTACACTAAGTCTATTTGCTTTTACACTGTTTACATAGTAAACTAGATTTTAGTATTATGTTAAGTCTTGCTTTTTAAAATTTCATGAAAAATTACACACTCACACATAGAAAAAAACTTGTATTAATTACATAAGTGTGCAACTGTATTTATTACTATTTTTATCTGATGAACTTCGATGAAAAAAGGAGATTAACTTCATGATTTTCACTATCACATTATCAGGAGAAAACTGAAGAAGTACATTCATATCTTAGAAAATCCACATACTCGGGTGTAAATAGAAAAAAAAATCAATATCTCTTTAGATGGTGAAATATAATGGTCAAGTTTGATGGTATAGCGATTTAGTCACGAGAAGAACGTCCATTTGACCTCTCGCCTGTTCAGGAGTGGTCACTTGGATTGTTGGCCACTTCCAGCAGGTGTTTCCTTCAAGTCCAGACTTAAATGAGCATAACCAAGAGGAGCGTTGGTACGGGTCATGTAATAGGTGATTAGGCTAGAGAACTACCAACTTTTGAATCCCTTTAGAATTCAATATATGATTTGAGCATAATTTTAAACTTTTTAAAAAAAGAATCTGTGTACATTGATAACTATTTCTCTATAGATATTTGATTGTGATGATAATATGTTACAGTGTAATCGACGTTTGCAATTCATCACTATTCTATTTCTATCATAGTTTGTCTTTGAATAGTGATGATGTATATATAGATACACAAACGTGATTCCATCACTCAGATTTATGATGCCTATATTACCTACACGTGCTTACAAAGTAAATGTGCATTTAATAGATAATTTCAATGACAGGCAACAGAGAAGAATTCATAAAAAATAAAACAGTCTTCTTTGATTTTAGTTAAATGGTTGGTTAAACGGCACTAAAAACTGTTTTCGATGAACTGAAAAAAGATATTGGCTATTCAATATACAATGTAATATAAGCATGCTGTCACCCATAGTCTCCCATAAGATCTCCATTGTTTAAGCTACCAAACTCTTTCATTTTCTTGCTGTCCTCAGTCCAGTTCTAAAAAACAAAAAGCATGTATATCAGTATCAAATTAATACTTTTTATATTTTGAAGACGCATATTAAACATGAAATTTCATTCTAAACGATATTTAAACGGATGTCCCTGCAAAAACTCTAACTTACATACCATTAACAGTATAGATGTTGAACAAGAGTCCACGTTTGCACCATGCAATGATCAAGAAAATATGCGACATCCCTCTCAAAATCAACCTCACTGAACCATGAGACAACTATATAGTATTTACTTGATACCCTTCTAGAAAATCAAAAAAATTAATGATCGCAGTAAATGGATTAAAACAGTATGTAATTATATTAGTACTACGATTATATCTCGAAGTGAAGTCAGAGATTTTGTTGTTAAAGTTCAAAACTCTTATTTGGATTTAAATTTTCTGATTAACACTGACAATGAAAAATTTGGTTTATTGGTACCGCGCACTTGTCACCGAGACGACCTAAGTGCGATTCACAGATGAAAATGATCCCCTTGTGCTTCAATTATGACAAACAAAAATATTGATATAAGCTTATTCATATTTTTTATAAGTGTGATGACATATTAAAAAGGAGGACTATTTTTTCAGTAAGTTCCAGTTAATAAACACACTGATATTAATCATATCAAAAAACATACTAATAAAATTCAGCATATTTCTGATCCGCGTGACTTTTATCAAATTCTGCGTCCTTAATACGCTAAGGTGTATATTGATTAAATTCATGTTTACAGTAAAAAAGACATCAAATACGGTTAGCATTAATTCATGGTGATATACCATACCTATGTTTTAATGGAATTGCATTGTAATATTGTTTAATTGTGTAAAATAATGTATAAACAAATATTTTTCAATGTTTCACGTACCCTTAATACCCGATGCCAATTTGTTGCATTTTGAATATGTCAGCAGCTCGCAGCCAGTCATGCACGGGACTTCTTTGAATGGTAATTTCTGAAGGCGTTTTAATGTTTAAAGTGTGACTTTTTACACGCGCACTGCTGTTTTTCGTGTTGAAATGTTTTTATTGTCTTTTTATGTGTCCTGATATTCAGTACAAACATTTAGAGTATTTGCCGTTCCTCGAGAGAATCAGCACATTTTACGAGCATCAAAACAAGTATATTTAGCAAGATAAATGTTTAACTTAGGATAAAATTTGAAATATGAAGTGAAAGATAAGATAATAATAACATTGCTCACCATTTGTTCCTCAAAGACGAAAATTGAGAAGTTAATATTCTCTTTAAGAGCGTAAAAAGATCGCACTTAAATACATTTTCCCTTGTCTAAAACGTTTTCTCTGCGCCCAACAAAATTCAAACATTGATTTTGGAAGGAAACAGTTACTGTCACTGGAGATGAGATTTCTAAGAGAACTTGTAAAGTAATACTGAGGGAAGGGCAAGGGTAGAGAGGGTGATAAATGCCTTCAGTTGGATTCAGATAAGACCGAAACAGCAAAAGGGCATTAGGAGCCACTTAGGAAAATAAACAGTTTAAAAATGAGAAATCAAATACGGCATTCAATATTGTTGAGTTAACCACGGGATATTTTATGAATATGTGTATGATTCGCACAACGCTAGTCAGTATCAGAATAAATATCAAAACAGTATTTGTATGTTCACTACTGACCGTTAAGAAAATAATTTGTCTTTTCAGTCTTTATTGTCATCGGTCTACAAAAGCGATTCAACAAAAAGAAAATATAGCAAATCTGTTGACTGATTTTTAAAATATTGCGTTAGAGACACAAGTGAATATCACCTATTAATACACACGAGTATCATTGTAGTATTGCTAAATGAAGAAAGTACCTCCCACAGCTGTTTCGTCCTACGAGGACTCGTCAGTAACGCTATGGATCTGAATGGTTGAAATGACTGAGAAAAATCTAAATTGGTCGAAATTTATTTAAAAAAAAAACTTTGAAAGCGAGGTTCTGAAGTTATGTTTTCTTAACACAGAAATCAATTCCCTCAACCTTTAGTATTTATATAAGCAATTATTGTTAAATCATTGAAGAGATTTTATTTAGTAGAACAGAAACAGGATAATATTCTTTATGAATTTAACTTATTTTGGCCAAGCAGCTGTCATGAAAACATTTTTTGTTTAAAGCATATCATACGAGGTAAGAGGCAACCTGTTATTAATTATGAAACAAACATTTTGATTGTTTTAATACAGATGTCAATTTCAAAATTGATCATACGTATTTTAATATATAAATCAGCAAATTGATATTCAATGAAAAATTTCGTATCAGTTTGACTCACGTAAAATATTCTAAATATATTTGAATGAATTCATACATGTATCAAATTATTTAATCATATCTGTGGAATGTATTCTATACATTTTTGTTATTAGGAGATGATATAATTAAATATGGAAAAGCTCATGGTATTTCCTATTTTGAGTTTCTTCAGTAGCCTCCTTGATTTTAACAAGCTCGGCCCTTAGTATCACTGACGAGACCCAGAAGGACGAGAGAACTATATGATGTAGATTAATTTATTACTACTGTATCAAATTCTTCTAAAAAATGTATTGAAAAATGTTATGCCAATCTTTGATATTTTTTGTACAATTCCTGAGTCTTTTGTCTTTAATACACCATCGAATTCAAATTTATTTCAGTCATGCTAGACAAGAAAACTGATATCTTTATGCAAAAAAAAGAGAATACTTTTTTAGAGGTATACAAAGTAGTAGACTGAAACGGGCAGCACTTAGCTTTTACCTTGATCTATATATTATTATGTCTTTGGCCAGCTGTAAAATACCTGTAATATAATTTACATCTTCACACAAACCCAAAGCATCGCTATCATCACTAAAATCAGCCACAATGATATAACACATAGTTACAATCAATAGAATACATTCGGCTAAGCGGGTTAATTAAAGAGTTATAAGTGGAATCAATTTCATTGTGACAAATCAATAAAACTTTGGGGCCTGTCTTGTGTTCGTGTTTCACACAATGTTTCAGCACCAAGTCTCACTACCCTTTTTCTCCTATATCGTGCATTTGATTTCATTAGATTTTAGAGATAGCAATTAGTAGCTAATTTGTCGCTGAAGCTTTTAATTCTGCGCCATAATTCATGTTTCATTAAGAGTGATTCAATTGAGCGAGCTAAATCGTTTACCATTAAATAGGGAAGATAAAGCGACATTGAATCGGATCGGGTTCTCGTTCACATCTAATGTTACTTGCGGAGTGTGAAAATTTTCGTGTTACTTTCGTATTGCGTGTCTGAGAGCGGTAATGCCACTCAAAGAAGGGAAGCTGATTGAGTGAAGAAATGAAGCAGAAACAAAGCCAGTCAGTATATCGTGAAAAGTCTGGGGTTAAAATGTAACTTTTTCCTACGTGCTCATCCAAAGCTATTATACTCAAGTGTGTGTCTATCGACCACGTAATAAACCTACTATTGTGTCTATAATCATTTAGGCAAAGCGACACCCTGCAATACGTGCTAAATGTTTTCT